CTTTTAGCTTATTTATTTCAGGACCCTAGGAGCGTTACGCAGAGGTTTATTATAATCCACGTGTTAAAAACCACCGTAGCTTTTCACCGGAAAAAGAGCAAGGAAAGCTTTGATCCCCTGGATGTTGAGAGGGATTTTTGGAGAAGAAAGCAGATGGTGGCACTCGAAAGCCTTTTTCCCCTGATCTCTTGGGAAGATTAAGAGGAGGGGGTCTTTGCCACAAGGCTGAGACCGAAACACAGACATGGCCGAGGGAAGCTGGACGGAGGAGGGGGCCGTAAAACCTCCCTCCCTCTGTGAAAATCCCACAAATAAAAAGAATAAATACAATGCAAAACAATAAGAAAAAAATAATCATTCCATAAAAGAAAAATTTGGGGCTGGGTTTGTTTCGATCCCGCCTTTATTATTTTTACAAATAACTCAAGGAGGCAAAGATATCCAACACTCCTTCCACCTCCTCTTGGGGCGGGCTGGGCTGGGAGGGAGGGGCTGGGTCTACATCACCCAGTTGGCTTTCATGCCTCAGGCAGGACTAGAACTCACCGTCTCCTGGTGATTGGTTCAATATTACTTTAACCAGCCTTCATGCCTAAGATCAGGGGTGGGATTCAAATTTTTTAACAACTGGTTCTGTGGACGTGGCTTAGTTAGTGGGCGTGGCTTGGTGGTCATGTGACTTGGGTGGACATGACTTGGTGGTCATGTTATTGGCTGGATGTGGCCAATTCAATATCCCTCACATCGAGGCACGCATCTCCTTGCCCGGCCTCTCGTGACTGTGGGGATGCTGTAACGGTCGTAAGTGTGAAAAATGGTCATAAGTCACTTTTTTCAGTGCCATTGTAACTTTGGTCCCTCCACACAAGCAAAGTGCCAGCAAAGGAGGGGAAATAAACTCCAGAGAAGCTCCTGAGACAGGAAGTCTAGTCCTGCCAAGAGTGTAATAAGGGTTAACGGAGAGGCAGTTTCTGTAAGCAACCCCAGAATGTTTCCTTCCTGCCTTCCTTACAGGATTAGCCCTGTAATTTCTTCTAACAACCGGTTCTCCGAACTGCTTAGAAGGTTAACAACCGGTTCTAGCGAATAGGTGCCAACGGGTAGAATCCCACCCCTGACTAAGATGGACCAGAACTCCCTGTCCGCTGGTGATTGGCTCAAAGTTACCCAGCCACTTTCATACCTAAGGCAGGACTAGAACTCACGACCTCCTGCTTTCCAGCCTGGGGCCTAACCACTAGACCAAACTGCCTCAACCTATTTTATTGTGGGCCACTGTGTGTGACACGGGAGTCCTTTCCGTTTCGTTCCCCGGGGTTGAAGTTTCCGCTTTTTTTTTTGCTTTGCTTTTCCCTCCGGGCCGCGCAGGGGATTTTGCTAAATGCCCAAAGAATCTGCAAATCAGCTTTTAGAGGCACCAATGAGCGGATTGTGCTTTTTTCTTTCTTTCTTTTTTTGTGGTGAGCTGGAAGCAACTTCCCCTTGGCAGCCTGCAGGCCGATTGGAAACCCAAAGAAAAGAGAAGATCAAATACACCCGGGTGGAAAGGGGTATTTTTAGTGGCAGAGGTCAAACCTCCCCGCCCAGGAGAGGGGAACAGACTGGCCTTTCGTTCAAGAGGACTTGGAGGCAGTCAGTTTCGGTTTCCCAGCTGCCGCACTGCTCTTTCAAGCCCCTTTCCCCACCCCGCTTTCTGTTGGCAACCCTAAAATGACCATAGAAATATTTTCTGAGTTGACAGGCTGGTTGGCCAACCACAACCGCAAGCCAAGAAAGTCCACCCTCTGCGTCTGGGGTTGAGCTGGGCTCTCCAGCCTCCGAACCTTCAAAAGAAGGCCCCGATGTTGACATAAGCTCACGTCCGACACACAACCACGAGCCGGAACTGGGGCCTGTTGCAAAGACCGAGGTTGTGTTACTAAGATGAACAGGGATAGTTTGGGGCTGGTTGTGGGGTGGGAATCCAACTTTTCGTTGAGGAGAGTTGATGGCCGATGGTAGGCCGTCATGTTAATCACACTCCATGTAGTCCAAGGGGTCGCCAACCGGTAGGCTGGAGACCACTGGTGGTCCGTGAGAAAATTTTGGTGGTCCACAGAGAAATGTCCCCCCCACAAAAGCAATTAATCCAGGCTGCGTGGGAACACAAGGCTTGCGTTGCAAACAACACGAGGTAGTGAGGGGAGGGGGGAAAGAGCGGAGGGGGGGGAACTTGCCCCACTCACCCCACACGCCTGTCCTGGGCACCGGGCTGCTTCTTTCCGCTTCTTCCTTCTTCTGCTTTTGGCTGCACGCAAGGAAAGCAGCCAAAGTCTTTCTTTCTCTCCCCCAAACTCCGCCAGAAATGAGTCTTTGGGGTCCTGCAAGGCCTCCTGCTCCAAGAGGCTGCGAAGACTCATTTCTGGCGGAGTTTGGGGGAGAGAAAGAAAGAAAGACTTCTGCGGCTCCTGCTGCTTTCCTTGCATGAAGCCAAAAGTCTCTCCTCTCTCTCTCTCCCCCTGAGAACGGAGTTGGAGACGGTATCCCGTGATCCCAAATAAAGAACGATCGATCGGTAGGAAAACAGGGTGGGGGATTTTCTCAGGGTCTCTGGTCCGTGGGATTTAAAAGTAAGAGTTTGGTGGTCCCTGAGGTCCAAAAGGTTGGCGACCCCTGAATTCTAGGTGAGCCCTGAAAGATATGAGAACCAAAGTATTTGCTTCACTTAACCTGGTTATTTTGGGGAGAGGCCACGGCTACAGCTCCACAAAGGTGCATTATTGCACAATATTATTGTTCAAATGAAGGCAGTCTTTGACGTACGACCACAATGGACCACAAACAAAAAATTCTGTTGAAAGCAAGATAGTCCTTGAGTGAGTTTTCGCCCATTTTACGACCTTTCTTGCCACCGTTGTTAAGCAAATCAGCCCACTTGCTGAATATCAATGAATTAAACAAGTTATGAGGAGGCTGCAATGGTCCTAAGTGTGAAAAACAGCCGTAAGCCACTTGTTTCAGTGCCATCGTAACTTTGAATGGTCACTAAACGAACTGTCGTAAGTCGAGGACTGCCTGTAAAGCCTGGTTCACATAAGCGTAACAGTTTTCCCAGGATTCTTCCGTGCATGATGACCGAGGGGGACAATTGTGATTCGCTTAGCAACCCATGGCAAGAAAGATAGGAAAACAAAGCAGAACTCCCCTTAACGAATGTCTCGCTTAGCGACAAGAGATTTTTGGACCCAATTGTGGCCGTAGGTTGAGGATTCGGAAGTGAGTTGCCCTCGGAAGTTGTGGGAGGTTCATCCCTGGAGACTTCCAAGAAGAGACTGGACAGCCCTCTGTCAGAAATGGTGCAGGGTCTCCCGCTTGGGCGCGGGGTTGGACTAGATGACCTCCAACATCCCTTCTAACTCTATTCTGAATTAATTAAAGTTGTAGGAGCTTCATCCCTGGAGACTTCCAAGAAGGGACTGGACTGCCATTTGTCAAAAATGGTGAAAGTTCGTTGTCCCACTTGGGTGCGGGGTTGGACTAGATGACCTCCAAGGTCCCTTCCAACTCTGATTATCTGTTATTATCCGTTATCTGACTATGTAATTTATGTTTCTCCAAGCAAACGTGTGCTCGTGCACAAACACACCCTCAGATACATCAACGCACCACATTTGCACTTTTGGGGGAAGCCGCTCAGACCCACAACATGCATTGTGATCGTCACAAGGGAGCCCAACGTTTCTGTTGCTAAGCGAGGCGGTCGTTGAGTGAGTTTTGCTCTATTTTACGGCCTTCCTTGCCACCATCGTTAAGTGAATCATTGCCATGGTTATGTTAGTCATACTGTTGTTAAGTGAATCTACCTTCCCCGTGGTCAAAAGATCGCCAAAGGGGAATCATGTGGCCCCCCTGGGGGATGCTGCGACCGTCATAACTACGAGTCAGTTTGCCGAGGGTCTGAATTGTGATCACGGGACTGCGAGGGAATGCTGCAACGGCCGTAAGTATGAAAAACGGCCATAACTATGAATTAGCCGCTAAGCTTCTGAATTCTGATCACCTGATGTTGGGGAATAATACAAGTGCAACTGAGAAACGGTCCCAAGTAACTTCAGACGGTCGCTAAAAAAGAACCGTCGTAATTCGAGGACCGCCTGTATGGGAACTGGCCTCCTAAGATGAAGAGGAGAGTTTTGGGTTGGACTCTGGCCACCCACCCAACAAAGGGTTGAGATTCTTCTCTCATCTAACAGATAACAGATAATCTGGGTCGGAAAGGGACCTTGGAGGGTCATCTAGTCCAACCCCGCCCGCCCAAGCATCAGACCCTACCCCATTTCTGAGGGAGGGCAGTCCAGTCTCTTCTTGAAAGCGTCCAGGGATGATGAAGCTCCCACAACTTCCAAGAATTAATCATGTCGATGAATAAAAGTGCCATCCTGGGTTTTGGGGTGCCAGGGAGACGTAAGACGATCTCTCTCTCTTTTTCTCTCTCTTACACACACACACACACACACACACACACACACACACACACACACACACACACACGGAGCCTTCCTTGCACGCTCGCTTCCTCTTCCGGTCACAGTCCCGGGCCCGGCCCCGGCTGACCACACCAGCTCCAAGGCTGCCAAGGCTGCCCTCTGTCTGAAGGACCCCTCTGGCCAGCCAGAAATCCCCAGAGCCCCCCCCCAAAAAACCCCCAGAAGAGGCAGCAGGAAAGTTGGGGAGGGGGGAGCAGGTGGGCAGGCAGGGGGCTTGACCAACGCCCCCCCACCCCACTCCCCTGCCGCTTGCAAGCCCGCCAAACTCCGGAGGTGCCAATCTGGCCTTGGCACCCCCCCAAAAAACCGGGTCAGGCTGAAGCTGAGCCAGCAAAGCAGGAGCCGGCCAAGATCTCGGGGTGTGTGTGTGTGTCGTCGTCGTCCCCCCCCCCCCCCCCAAATAAAAGAGGGGAGGGGGCGTACCTGGGCAGGTGTGGAGTGGGGGTAGCGGGGGGCGGCGGTTTCTGGCCTTACCTTGATCTTGTGCAGCGACTTCTCGGCCTCCAGCACCTGAATCCAGACGGCGATGCCCGAGCGGTGGTAGGTGAGGTGCCAGCCGGCTTCCGAGTTGCATTCCCTTCGGAAGTGCTCGAAGTCGCCGTCGTCCGGGATCTGCACGCTCTCCCGGCCGGACATGCCGCCGCCGGAGGAGGAGGAGGAAGAGGAGGAAGAAGAGGAAGGCTGGGAGACGCCGAGCGGCCCCGGGCTGCGGCTCTGCGGGGCGGACGCCTGGCCGCCTCCTGCGCTCCCCCCGCGGCGACGGACGGGGCGGGCTGGCGTGGCGTTGGCGGCCGGCCCAGAAGGACAGGTGAGTCACGCGCAGGTGAGCCGACGCCGGCCCTCCTCCTCCTCCTCTTTCTCCTCCTCTTTTCCCTTCCCTTCTTCCGCCTCCTTCCTCCCCCTCCTCCTTCCTCTTCTTCCTCTTTTTCTCCCTCTTCCTCCCCTCCTTCCTTTTCTTCCTCCTTCTCTTCTTCCTCCTCCTCCTTCTTCCTCTTTCTCCCCCTCCTCCCTTCTTCTCCTCCTCCTCCTCCTTCTCTTCCTCCTTCTCCTCCTCTTTCTCCTTCCCTGCTTCCGACTCCTTCCTCCCCCTCCTCCTTCCTCTTCCTTCTCCTTCCTCTTCCTCCTCTTTTTCTGCCTCTTCCTCTCCTCCTTCCTTTTCTTCCTCCTTCTCTTCTTCCTCCTCCTTCCTCCTCCTGTTTTTCTTCCTCTTCCTCCCCTCCTTCCTTCTCTTCTTCCTTCTCTTCTTCCTCCACCTTCTTCCTCTTCCTCCCCCTCCTCCCTTCTTTTCCTCCTCCTCCTCCTCCTCCTCCTCTTCTTCCTTCCCTCCTTCCTCCTTCTCCTCCTCTTTCTCCTCCTGTTTTTCTTCCTCCTCCTCCTCCCTCCGGTCCCGGATCCTCTCCGGAGCTAGGCGGAGGCTGCCCGGGAGCAGCTGCAGAGGGGCGGCCGGGCAAGGTCGCCTCTCTGTCGGGATGCGGTTTGGGAGCAGCGGCAAGCCGGCGCCCCCTTCGCCTCCCTGCCCCCCCCCCGCCCCGTCCCCGAGCGCTGCCGGTGTCTGCTGGGTCCTACCTGCCGTCGCTCACCGGGGCGTCCGCCTTCCCCAAGCAGGCGCCCCGCGGGCTCCGGCCGGGGAGGGCTCAGCAAACGCGTCCCCGGGCTGCCCTCCTGCCAGGCGGACGCATTCACACGTTGGCCGGGCGACGGGTCACGAGTCTGGCTAGTGGAGGGTGGTCCATGTTCCACGGCGGAGGCAGGAGGGGGCACACTGCTCCTCACACTGCCGCCCCCCCCAGAGGGAGCCGGCTGGTTTGAAAGTGGGTTACAGGTAGTCCTCGACATACAACATTTCATTTAGTGACGGGTCAAAATTCCAAGAGCACTGAAACAATGACTTACCGCCAGGTTTACGCCCTTACGACCACTGCAGCATCCCCACGGTTACATCATCATCGAAACTCAGATGCTCGCCAACTGATTCATAGTTATGACGGTCGCAGCGTGCCAGGGGGGTCACGTGGTCCCCTTTTGTGACCGTCTGACCAGCAGAGTTAACTAAGCCGGATTCGCTTAATGACCGTGGGTGTCTAAATTAAGGACTGCAACAACTCACGTGATAATTGTGGCAAGAAACGGTTGTAAAAATGGGATTCAAAAACTCACTGAGTAACTGTCTTGCTTAGCGATGGAAATGTTGGGCTGTGTTGTGGTCGTAAGTCAAGGACTACCTGTATTTTGTGGCTTCCAGTGGGTTCAGCTCCCTCTGCCCACCAACTGACACACACACACACACACACACACACACAAACACACATGGCTCTGTTTGGTTATTTGCAATAAATGCAGCTTGTCCCTCTTGAGTTTTACCAGTTTATGGATAAATTTACATCTGCCCCCTTCTGGCAGACAAACGGTTACCAACAATCAAAACTTCCTTAAATAAAGGGGAAAAAAAGAAAAAGAAAAAGCAACAACATCAAAATTAAAATCATGCCCCCGGGTGGGGGCTGGACTAGATGATCTCCAGGGTCCCTTCCAGACCTAGTAGGATTCTGTGAATTAAGGTCCCCTGTTGCATTTTCTCCTCACGCCGTGGTGAGAAGCATTTTAGAAGGAGGATCCTTTTATATTTTGCATGAATTATGTTTTTAATTTCTATTTTTTACTGGTTTCCTACAGTTTGCGACTGGACATTCTCGGTTTCTTCCAGACCTTATTGCAGGTAGTCCTCGACTTACGACTGCAATTAAGGGCTACAATGCCACCGCCGTCCACCTTCACTGACCCCCCGCCTGCAGCCCACAAGAACAGACGCCGCAGGGCATCCGTGGCCCCCGGGTGAGGCTTTGATGGGCTCTGCCAGAAAACCTGGCCAACCCTCCAGAATAAATAACATTCCGACAGGTGGAATATTTGCCCACGGAAAACAAGCCGCCTTCCTCCTCGCTGGGCGGGAAAGAGGAAGAAGGAGTAGCCGGTCAGGAGAGGCCACCAAACCTCCTTCTCCATCCTGCCGCGTTTCCTTCCTCCCCTTTGTAAAATTGCTCAGCCTTGCGGTGAGCGAGGAAACAAGGCGGATTGAGCCCAGGGTCGGCGGATCAAACGTATAACAGGCTGACCAGCTCGCTGTGTAGGCGGAATTTATCTTGGAATTGATTAAATTAAGAACCCGCTGTGCTGTCATAGTTTAGGCGCTGGCCTGTGAACCAGGAGATGGTGAGTTCTAGTCCTGCCTTAGACACCAAATCTGGCTGGGTGACTTTGGGCCAATCACTAGGAGACGGTGAGTTTTAGTTTTTCGTTAGGCGCAAAAGCCAGCTGGGAGACTTTGGGCCAATCCTTGTCAGCCCAACCCACCTCGCAGAGTTGTCGTGGCCAAAAAGGAGGAGGTAGCAACATTAGCTACATTCACCGCCTTGAGTGGCCTATAAAGTCACAAAGACAGGATTAAAAATATAATAAAGAAACAAAAATAAATAATAAACGTCTCCCAGTGCCCTCTGAGTCTACCCTTGTATTATTTCAGTGTTTCCAGCTGTGGCCTGAACCCCTGCCCTCTGCCCGTTGGGAGCATGGCCCAAAGCCCAGAGGCCACCATAGCAAAGGATATGGCTAAAAAGGGCTGTGAAGGAAGTTGTGTGATTCATACCCACACCTACACAACACACATCCCACTGACTGCCCCATTCTGGCCTCAGATTTGGCTTCGATGCTTGACATGGACCCGTGGGAAACTCGTTGAACTGGTTCACACGGTGCCCGAAAACCAGGATTGATTTAACTATGGCTTATTGATTAACCATGATGGCCTGGATTTGGACAAACTAGTGAGCCATATAAACCATTCATTAGCCAGCAGGGTGGCTAAGCTCACCAAGTGGGATAAGCCACATTAACATGCATTACATGCGCACCATTCTACAGATTAACAGAGCTGAAAGGGATCTTGGAGGTCATCTAGTCCAACCCCCCCACCCAAGCAGGAGACCCTACACCATTTCTGACAGAGGGCAGTCCAGTCTCTTCTTGAAAGCCTCCAAGGATGATGAAGCTCCCACAACTTCCAAAGGCAACTTCTGTTCCATGGGTTGATTGTTTTCTCACCATCACACACAAGTGCCTTTATTTTTATTAAATTTATACGCCGCCTGTCTCACTGTCTCGAGCGACTCAGGGGGAGATTACAACAGTAAAAAAGCATGCAGGGAATCCTCTTCTTACGACCACAAATGAGCCCCAAATTTCCACTGGTCGCTGTGCCTGGACTCTAAAGACCCCTGGGAAGCCTGGAAGGAGGCAGGATCAGTTCAGGGCTGCAGGTTGATCCTTTGCACAGGATTTAGAAAAGGAAAGAAAGAGGCGTATTTGGTAGAATTTGCTGACAACCAGCAGCCAGCTTAATCTTCCGCATTAAAAACCAGGAGATTTTATTGCACTTTAAAGCCCAACTTGTTTATTTAGCACTTTAGCCAGATTTCTGGGGAATTGCAGCCAAGAGGCTTTTCCTAACATCATGAATTATTTTATTTTATTTTATTTTATTTTATTTGGGGGGGTGGGATTTTCTAAGAATTTCTCCCTGTGTCTTGCAGGCCTGGGAAGTTGATGCTACGTGGAGTGGAATCTCTTTGGTTTCTTGGCAACGCCGCTCTAGGAAGATTGGCTTCCTCTGGAGAAATGCCCTGCCGAAAATGGTCTGAATGCGGCGGCCGAATGGTGCAGTTTGGAATACATAAATTATCGTCTGTGTTCGTAGAAAAACAAGGCTTAGCGGAACAGCCAGGATGTAGCTGGTGGACCCCCGCACCGTGTTGCTTTTCTCTATTTTATTTTATTTTGTATTATTATATACTTCATTGATTAAACATGAAATTCAGTCAACTGAACCTTAAAAAATGCATCGCAAATACCATTGACCGGTGCTAATGGTTGCTGCCAGCGTCCTAGTTATCAACCAAGTATCTTCTTAAGATGTATGATTATTATTATTATTGTTGTTGTTATTATTATTATTATTGGTTAATCTTTAGCCTTTGGGGCTGGTTGGTAGCTCAACAGCTCGAGTCCTAACCAAGGATCCAGGAACGGTTCAGGCAGCGTCGGAGGATATAAGCTGTTCCAAGTAGGGTGGTTTTTTTGTAGAATCAGGGTATTCAAGTCTGATAAATTCAGGATTTCCAAATAGCCAGGTAGCCCTTTGGGTATTGCTCAGTCAGCCAGATGTTCAGACTGGGTTTGGCATTTTTGTCTATGAGTCCTTACCAAAGACCCGGGATAGGCAAATCTGGATGTTTGATGGTGTTACAAATATTGCTGCAAGATGGAAGCTGTTCCAAGCAAAACTGCCTTCTGCAATTGACTGAGGGCAAATTTGTCAATGCCTATTGGTGCTGCTATTATTATTATTATTATTATTATTATTATTATTATTATTATCTCTTCTATTCAATAAACATGAAACTCAGTCAACGGAACATTTAAAAATGTACCACAAATATCATGGATTGGTTCTGATGGTTGATATGGGTTGCTGCCAGCATCCTAGGTATCAACCAAGTAATATTATTATTATTTTGTTTATTATTTTATTCTATTTCATTTCATTTCACTTCTTATTGGCACCTATCTGAACAAGAGTCTCTGGGCTTTTATTTGATGTTTCACGTCGGCTTGGATTGGATTCCGTTGTCCTTCATTTTAATCCAATTGTATTCTTTTTTGGTGTGATCTGTTTATAGAATGAATGACTGATTAGTTGATGTGATTTGATTTCTATCGTTGCCTGTCTCAACAAGGGATCCTCGGCTCTATCTGGTGCTTTAAGTTGGGTTGGATTGCGTTTTATCGCATGTCTTTTTAGTCCAAATATTTTGACCCCCTTTTAATTCTGTATTAGATTAAGGAGCAGAGAAGGGCCCGCTGGCAGCAGCCACTAGCTAGCTGATTGTGGATGAGGTAGATGGGAGACCACTCAGAAATCTCAGCTTGCAAGCTGGGCTGGAAAGTGAAAAAATTTGTGGAATGCTGCCCAGGGCAGGACGCATCATCAGGAATTGAGTGTGTCTCTGTGTAAGGGGCAAAGCGGGCAGGCAGGGCGATGCCTGGCACGCCACAGAAACGCTTGGGTGAAAAGGGGTTTCCCTCCGTGGATGCCAGGTGTGTCTGCTCAGGGCTACTGATGCGAAGGTGCATCTCTGGCAGCTGGGAAAAGGCTACTTTTGTCTCTCCGGTTGAGTAGCTGCCTGTCGCTTCCAGCTGAGCTGCATGTCACCCAGTGTGTCTCAGCCTTGGGAACTTTAAGACAGGCGGACTTCAACTCCCAGAATTCCCCAGCCAGGATAGGATGGGATAGGATAGTAGATAGGTAGGCAGACAGATGATAGATAGATAGATAGATAGATAGATAGATAGATAGATAGATAGACAGACAGACAGACAGACAGACAGACAGATATAGATAGGGAAATAGAGATAGGATAGATAGATAGATGATGGATGGATGGATGGATGGATAGATAGATAGATAGATAGATAGATAGATAGATTCATAGATAGATAGATAGATAGATAGATAGATAGGAGAGATAGATGATAGATAGTTGATTGATAGATAGATAGATAGATAGATAGATAGATAGATAGATAGATAGATAGACAGATGATATACGGATAGATGGAATGATAGATGGAATGATTCGATATAGGGTGGATTGATAGATAGAAAGAATAGACAGACACAGAGATAGATAGATAGAGACAGATATGGATGGGATAGATAGATGGGCGGACAGACAGACAGATGGAACAGCTCTGGCTCCAGAAGTTGTAGGTGCTCCCTCACTGGAGATTTTCAAGGAAAGATTGGACAACCATTTGTCTTGCTCAAGCAGGGGGTTGGACTAGAAGACCTCCCAGGTCCCTTCCAGCCCTGTATTTCTTTGAGTCCATAATCGGGACCCAGATTGTCGGGGGGGGGGGGGGAAGGCCGGCTCTTCAACCACTTAAGAGAGGGCTGTAGAAGTACTGTGAAGCAGTCTCTGCCTCGGTGCTATTGCTATCTTGGGCAGGGGGGGGCTGGACTAGAAGATCTCCAAGGTCCACGGCCGATGCTATGATTCTATGCTGGACACCTCAAGGGGGGTCCTGGGAGGAAGAACCCCACCCCCACTTCCCCTGCAGTTCCAGGCTCCAGGCGCTGAGGCTTCACCCCCCCCCCAGGCCCTCCCCCCTTCCCATCGCTGCCTGCGTGGATTTCTTTCTCTGCCTGGGCACGCGGGGGAGGCCAAGGAGGGGTCTGGACGATGCCAACTTGGGCACGTAAACAAGGGCAGATGGGGAGGCAGGAGGAGCCCAGAGGCTGCAGGGATGAGTCACGCGGGGCTGGGGGCGGCTCTCTGCCACAGAGGAGGTGCCTGCCTGTGTCTGCGTGTGTGTGTGTGTGTGTGTGTGT